CCTCTCTGAATGACACCTTCTTTTCCCATCCCAAAATCTGTACCCTGAAATTTAATTTTCAGTTCTTCCCTCTAACACGAACCGTAGTGGAATCACTTGCTCCAGAGGAAAACATGCTGATACTGACAAAACATCACCTTGATGTGTGTATTGTATGAACATCAGCATCTTGCTGCCTTGTACTGGTGTTGTTTGGGAGACTCTCTTGGGGAAGTTAAAAAAAAAGGTATTTGAAGTATTTTGCCTGTTGAAAGCAGCTATTGCAGATCAATATATGTACAGGCTGAGGACTGCAGGCAGTCCCAGAGTCATTTCTTCATCTGCTGGACGGCAGAGTCAGCATTGTTTGTGTTTGACCACTGACCAGCAGCAGGTGTCCAGCCCTTTGTAACACATTTACCTCCTGCTGGCTTCAAGGCTTTTTGCTTTTTGCCCAGCTATTAGCTGAACAGGGGGGTTAGAGAACAAGGGATGAGATGCTGCAGGGGGGCTGTAGGCACAGTCATTGGTAGAAGCAAGGGACACAGGGAGTAGCATTGGCTTCTGAGAAACTGGGTAGTCCATGTTAATAATCGAAAGTATTTTGTTGGCTTTCTCCCTCTGGACACCTTGGCTTTGCTTTGTTTTTTTTTTTTGTTGCGGTGTTGGCTTCCCACCGTTTGGGACTGCATCCCTAATGAAAGATGCAAAACCTCGTTCAGCATCAGGAGTCTGACAGAAAGGAGAGGGATTCTTCAGTGTTAATAACATTCACATTTTGAATTGTGAGTAGGCTGTAGAGTAGAGGATGGCTGAGCATAATTTCATGAAGTCTTACTAGCAAGTTTTAAATTCTGCTTTAATTCCCTCTTTCAAAGTCTTAATCTTCTTCTTACTAGTCTCTATCTGAAACCCCATTTTCACTTGATCATTAGGTCTGCATTTAGAAGTATTCTGAGACAATGTTCTCGTCAGAGTCAGGGGCCTGACTGACTTGTTCTTTGCAAACAACAAATTCAGATAGCAATTAATATTTTTGTGGATGGTGCATTAGAGAAATTTGCATAGGGTCAGCCATTTCTCTGATGACGCGGGAGGAAACCCCTGTTAAAAAGGACAGTAAGACAGTATTGTAATGAAAATTTATGGAATAAGTGAGCAGATAGGATTCTATCTTATATTTTGATTTTTTTTTTTTGTTTATCTCATGTTTGTTTAAATATGTATTGTGGAAGTAGACTTATTTTTTTCTGTCTTTTTCTAATGTTTTTTTCCTGTTCTTTGTTTTGCAGCTATCTATTCCTTTGAAAAATCAAGATGACCTGGATAAAGCAGTAGATCTCTTAGACCGAAGCTCTAATGTGAAAAGCCTTAGAATATTATTGCTGTCTCAGGACAGAAACCATGTAGGTAACGGCTTCTACGACTGCAGCAAAATGAAGGTTTTTACCCTTAAGTCTCTGAAACATGATGGTAGCTTTATCTGAGAGTAACAGGGATTAGTAAAATCACTCTTCACAGACAGAAATGCGTATGTTTATCCTCTTCGCTTTGGCTTAGCTATAGGTATCTCTTTTTCCTTTTTTTTCCCTGACCTCAGCAGCTCTTCAAGGACTAAAACATTGCAGCTGTTTAAGTTGTAATATGAAGGCTATTTTCTATCAAGTACCCAATGACTGTATGCAGAAAACAATGAGTTTAGTTCGCAGAGCTTTGATTAATAGCACAGTGTTGAAAGCACAGGTTGTCCTTGAAGACAAACTATTAGCACTTTTTTTCCTGGGCGAGAAGCCTGAGGACAGCTCCCAGTGATTTTTCAGTTCTGTAGCCTAATGCATTGAATGCAACCTTACTCTGTAGAAACTAAGTTGCTTTTAGCTAATAATGATGTATTCACACCTTGATTGTGTCATGGCTCACTTTCCTATACCACAGATGGCTTGTGGCAGTGAGTGCCAGTGTAGTTTGCACTTTTCAGCAGAGAAGATCATAACATGAGATGTAAGTCTTTAAGTCAAGCTCCCAAAGCTGCCCATTTTGGACAGTGAATTGAACTGCAATCTGAAGAGGGGAAAAAAAAGTCAGAAGTTTCTCTTATTCCTGATCTGTCACTGTGTTCACTCAACCAATGTCTTTTTTTCAGAATTCAGGTCTTACGGCTTTTTAGCCAAAGACCTTGATAGCTTAGATATTTTATTTGCAAATTACCAGTTTCTCTTGAAGAGTGTGACACAAAAAGCTACGCTGTCTTGAAAGCTCTGTTGGTAGTAGCTTGTCGACCTTGAATGCTCACCCCTGTTCAAGTTCTGCAGTCTGTGAGCTCCAACTTTTGAAATAACCACACCTGTAATTCTTGGAACTCTCAGGAGAACTTGCGTATACTTCTTGCTATTTTTGAATTTGATAGTCCGTGTTAATAGAAATACAAAGACCTTCAGGAGTGTTAACAGCCCTTTCCCAAATGACTGGATGCCAAAAGCTGGAAAGGTGTAGGAGGGGCTGATGCTGTTCCTTGTCGTATGCCTTTTCCCTAAGCATTTGTTACTTGCTGTTCTGAAGGCAATACTTGGCAAGAAGGCCTTCGGTCTGACCTAGCGTAGTCAGACTCTGTGTTGTCAGGAAATTCTCTGTAAAAGGTGGCCTCAACTTTGAGTATAACACAGTGAAACAATCCTCTTTTACAGCCCTCTTAATTTCAGAGTCTTCAGACTGCAAATCAGATGTTGAATGCTACTGTCTAAACTTTACATAAGCCACCTACAGTAAACACTTAGTAAGTCTCATCCCTACACCAGCCAGTAGCCAGGACTGTGGTGTTGTCCTTTTATTAGCTGTTTTTTCCTCTTTTGCTCAAAGCAGAAACAAACAGCGAAGTCTTCACTAAGTGCCACAGTTTCCCCCCTCTCCTCCGACTTCCTCTTCAGCTCTGAGTTGCCTGACAGGAGAGCCCTCCATGTGATAGAGCAAAAGCCCACAAGTCTGAAGGAGGCTTCTTGGCTGCATGATCTCATCCCACTGAGGGAGCGGGAAGCATTATTTTTCCTGAAGTACAGGATGCAGATTTTGTTTTGGTTGTGCTCTTTTCTTTTTCTGGCGATGGAAAGGTAATGCCGTGACTTTGGCACAAATGTGTATATAAAACAAAATAACGTTGCAGCAGTAGCTGTGTGACTAGTACCGAGAGCCTGTGTTTGTGAACCGTGTTTAATTTTCTTGTGCCTCTTTCTGTGGCTTATTTGTGTGTTCTTTTATCAAGCAGCTCACTTCTATCGTCAGTCCTTTATTTGTGTTTAGAAACTAATGGGAAGAACTGGTTAAGTTGAACACCTAGAGTACTAAAGCCAGCCTGTCCATGTAAATGGTGTGACCTCTGCATCCGTTGTTCAGCTCCCATGAATCTATTCATGGTAGAGTTTGTGCATTTTAAATCAGGCTCCCTCCTCACTCTGTGCAAGGGCAAGTGCTTTTTAAAATAGCAGTTGTTCTTTACTTTTTTGATTGTGTGGCCTCACACCTTGTTTGCTAGTCATATTTGGATAAATTTCAGAAGACAGAATTAGTTTCCTTGGAGTCTCTTTGTTTCTCTTCATCTCAATAAAGTAGGTGCTTTACAAGCATTAGTTAAATTCTGTAACACACAAGAGGAAGGAATTATTATATCCTCTTGTAAAGCTAGCTACTTTGGGACAATAAGGTTAAAATGGAAAGTGTCCGCTAGCGTTGAGCACCTGCTTTAACATCAATAAGATCTCATTTGCCTGCAGGAGGTTGGAAGTTCAGAGTGTTTCATATGTAGAGGGTTTACAGGAAAGTTGGAGATGGACTTTTTACAAGGGCATGTAGTAATAGGACAAGGGGCAATGGATTTAAACTGAAAGAGGGGAAATTTAGATTAGATACAAGGAAGGAATTTTCACTCTGAGGGTGGTGAGGCACTGGCACAGGTTGCCCAGAGAAATTGTAGATGCCCCATCCCTGGAAGTGTTTAAGGCCAGGCTGGATGAGGCTTTGGGCAACTTGGTGTAGTGGAAGGTGTCCCTGCCCATGGCAGGGGGGTTGGAACTGGATGATCTTTGAGGTCCCTTCCAACCCAAACCATTCTGTGATTCTATGTTCAGACTTTAGTGCACCATCCTCAGATTGTTGGTGTCCTGTGTTAAGAGCCCAAGTTCACTGTATCATCCATGGAAAGAGCACAGAGGTGTTTGCAGGTTCTCATGGCAGAGCTGTGCATGACTGCTGCACAGAGAGGGCAACCCTTCTTCTGGGCAGCATCCTACTGCTCTAAATTGCAAAACCATCCCGCAGTTCCTTTACCTACAAAGCGTGCTGGAGTTACCCCTTCCGTCTTCCTCAGCAAATCAGGGAAAAGTCCTTTGACATGTCTCCTTTCATTCCTCTTCCTGATTTGAATAAGAAGATGACACCCTGGAAAAATGATCAAAATGATCTTTAATTAGAATGTGTCTATGTACGTTCAGGGAAGGCTGAGTAAAAGCAACACAAGCAGCGTTCATCTTGACATCTTCAAACTCTGTGCTCTTAAAATTTATTTTCGCTTACTCTGAATTTTAAAAAACGTGGAGAGTCAGGTCGGTATCTGCTTCTGAAAGAGTGGAAGATTTGTAATTTATCTCTGCTGGCCAAGGTAGCTGATGAAAATTGTAGGATCTTCCATGGTTTGGTCTCAGAGAGTGATATGAGCCCCTTCTTGTTGGTTTCGTTGGTAGCTGCTAATGCAGGACAAACACTGAGACTTGTAAACCCTACATTTGGGTTGAGGCTGGAGGGGAGCATGCTCTAGTTGTCTGACTCCTGTTTTATGCAGTAATTGTGAAGCTTACTCTCTTGCTGCCTTTATTGTTTGTGTTCTTTGAAGTTACTAAGATTTCAGGCTCTAGAACTGTTTCTCAGCTACTTTATTGCTACTAAACATAATGGTACTTTTGAAACTGTAGCCAGACTGCTTGAGCTTCTCAGTCTCATTTTATTTTATTTTTCATTTTCCCCAACAGACCAGTTCTTCACCCCATTCTGGACTGCCCAAACAAGTCAGGATTAAAACTTCCCAATCTGTGGGGGATGTGAACACACCCTATCAGCAGCCAGAACCCAGAAGTAGGCATCTGTCTGTCAGTGAGTATTTTTGCCACTTCTGCTTGTCTTTTTGTGAAATGTATCTTTTGGGCATTAGTGTTTATGGTATGGCCTTTATGAAAGTCATGAGAAATTAGAAGGTTATTCTAGGACAAGGCAGTTCATTTTCAAAAGCTCTTAATATGTTTACAGTAGAATGTTTCAAAGTTCCTTACTAAGTTGTTGAACAGCTGAGGAGCTGCTAAAGGGGATGTCCTAAAGCCAGATTCATTGAGGTTAGAAATTTGGAAAGCTTATGTGAGTCCATTAAGCTTTTTATTTAGGTTGGCAATTTCAGCTCGTGAAACCTAGATTTGATTCTTTTCTTTTTTTTTTTTTTGGCTTTGGAATCTGTCCTCACTCCTGTAATTAGGCATTTTACTAGTAGCACAGGAATTGCCACTGCATATCTAACCAGTGCCCTGCATACTGAGTTCCTTTTGCTCTCAGAATTACCAGATGAGGGGAGCACGAGGCTGATAGCAGAGGTGACCGCCACAAGTGCACAAAAGATAATGAGAAAAGTCAGAGTAATATGTACCTTTGTCTCATTTCCTTCGTGTTTCTGTTAGCTTAGTGAACTCCTTCAGTGGAAAGGTCTGTGTAAGACTGCTGTAATTTTTATGACTTCTGTCTCTGATAGATTCGTCTGAGTCATCCCCATTTCTCTGTGATAACCCCCTGTATAACTGTGCAGTACTATTAACTATGCACTACTATTCAGCTCTGTGTTTGAAGGATGCTCAGAGCTGTGTTAACTTTTTATGTGAAAAACTAAACCTTCTGAAGCTGCTTCAAAGACTTCTGGGTCCAAAAAAAAAAGAAAAAAGTCTATGGTTTAGAATCTGAAACTCAGAGTGAAAGAACAGGAAGAAGGTGAGCAATTAGTAGGGATCTGAAGTATGAAGGCTAGAGCCTAAAACGGTGTTCTGTGTAAATAACTCCTGCTTTAGAAGTGAGAAAAGCTAAATTTTGCTGGGAACAGCAGCAGAGGATGGCTGTGTTTGTTACAACAGCTATTTTAGGGCTTGTCAGACCTAATGCTTCAGATGACAGGTGCTGCAAATCATGAGGGCAGTACTAGGAGCTGGGAATGTCAGAGTTGTTTTGTTTCCAAATTCTAAACCTTGTTTCCAAATTCTAAACCTGCTCCCTCTGTGGAAGAGGAGTGCTACAGTTTCATTAACTGTATAAACTTGGAACCTAATAGTTACAGGATTTTAGATCAGTATTCGCAATGCAATCTTAGTGTCAAATAATAAATCTGATTAAACTAGAACAGACAGTCTCTGTGTTGTGGGGTGTAAACTGGAGTCAGATCCGTGCTGTTCTGATCAAAGGTAATTAGGAGAGGAAGCTCGGTAGAGGAGGACTCAGGAACTCAACCAGTAGTTTTCGATACTAGACTGGTCTAGCAAACCTGCTTGTATCCTGTCTAGAGTCTGCTGATCCCCTTTTATGCAGTTTGCTTTTATAAAGTAGCAAACAAACAAAAAAAGAAGTGCTGAAAGCTTGTGAAGTACGTGACTGAAACTGGGACAAAAAGGATTTTCCCATCCTTTTCTAGTTTGGAGTTAATATGCATAAAAAGAACAGTATTCCTCTGTCCTGTGAAGAAGGCAGCAGTATCCATGCATGTCTGAAACACCACGTTTCTTTTTTCACAGACAAATTCAATGCCAAAAATATTTTATTTAAAAAAAAAAAAAAAATCTTCCTCCTTTATTGGCATTATGAGGTATCCAAATAGTGATGCCAAAGCTAACAGACTGTACCGAGTGTCTGTCGTGGGTAAACTGTATAGTAATAAGGGGCCCCTTCTGTATCCCAGTCGCACAGACTCTTTCCTCTTATCTCAGCTTATGGACGCTTTCTGATCAGCTTGTCATTCATCAATCAAGAAAGCATTGGTTTTATTTTCTGAACACGTCAAAGTACCAGACTGTTAAATAATTAAGAGCTCCAGAAGGGTTCCAGTTCTGTCTGAGGTCTGATGGTAGTTTGGGAATAGCTCAGACTTGAATCAATTCTTTCTTCCTTCTCCTATCTTTGATTTGGAAAAGGAATGCACCCCTGTTTCTCAGCGTTTCAGGCATGGAGACTTCCCTGTGCGTACCACGTCATGCAGGGAAAGTCAAACGCAACGTTTGACAAAAGTTGTTTGCGTGGGGGAGACAGATCTGTGTAGTTCCTGTCTTGATGGGCCTCAAGCCTGCTGTCACCAGTTCAGAGGTTTGGAAGTAACGATAACTTTTATTAAAAAAAAAAAAAAAAAGAAAATTGCTAAGCATTCTGGCAGCACTTGTGTTTTTTCCACTCACTTCCTTTGATATACATTGATGTAGTGCCGACTTCCTTTTCCTGCCCAGTGATGGGGCCTTTCCACAATAGCACTGGGCCGGTGCCAGCGGGGCCAGGGCTGCCTTCGGCCAGCCGTGGCATTGGGTCGGG